TTATGGTGGTTGTATTAGTTGTAAAGTTATCATTACACTTTTGTATTTAATCATTGATGTGTTGGGTGAGTGCTTGTTTATTTTCTAATTTTCTTGTATGATATAGTGTTTTTTTTAGTGTTTTGAATATATTAACAGTTGACTCAATTTGTTGGCTACTAATATCTTGTATTGTAAATGCAGTTGTTTGATGGTTAGTAAGCTGTTGTATTGTTTGTAGTTTTTGGTTAATAGTGCTAATAACTTCTTAAATATCCTCAGCATTTCTGTATTGTTGGCTGTATATTTTAACTAGTTTTTGTAGTATACTGCCATATAGGTTTAGTGCTGTATGAAACTTTGTTGCTGTAGCTAAAAATATTTTGAATTGTCTCTGAGATTTAAATGTAAAGGGTATATGTGATTTGGCTGCTTTGGTTATAGCATTATTAATTTGATGCCAGAGTTGATCAATTGAGAGTGTTTGTATAACACCCAAGAATTTTGTGCCAGGTTTGTGGCACAGCAAAGTTTTTTAAAGTTTGTTAATATTAGAGTTAGCGTTTAGAACCAGGTTAGAAATAAGGTTGTTATATAGTAAAATTACTCAAGAAAAACTTTTTGTTAAAGCGCTAAAGGTAGTTTCTTATGTAGATTTTTGAGAAATAAGTAACTTTTAACAAAATGAACATTTGTTTTGAAACTTTCTGATCATATTACATTATACCTGATCTCTGAAATTTGATTTGTAAATCAGGAGATCTGCACCATAATAATCGACAAAACTTGGCACAGAATTCTTGAGTGTATTTGTATGATATCCTCTGTTAATGCTGAGGTGAGATTGTGTGTTGCTTGATGAAATTCATCCCAGCTATCTGTGGTCATTGTATCATATTTGTAGACTTTGAACTTGTATTTTTTCCTTCTTGGAGATGGAGTAAAGTTATATTGTATATCAATAGAGATTATACAATGGTCACTGTTAGTAATATCAGTGGCTAGTGTTAAAGTAGGTTGTGAGGTAATATACTATAATTGGTGTGGAATCTATATTTTATCTATTTGGCTAGATAAGTTAGCTCGCTGCCAAGTAGGTGTAGGCGAATGATAAGTATGTACTAAAGGTATATAGTTGTGGATTAGTAGATAGCTATAGAGTGTTGATCTGTGTATTCTGTTTAAATCCTGGTTAAAGTCTTCTATGATAATAGATGCAATTTGAGCTGTATTATCTACTGGATGATTTGATCTTATGTCTTGGTATTAGTTAAAGTGTGTGCTGGAAGATAGGCAAAAATAATACGAATTTTGTTATTATGTGGAAAGAACAGGTCGATTGCAATTGCTGTACCCTGAAGTGTTTGGATATTGTGAATATATAGTATAAGTGCTTGAGATAGGAGAATTGCTATATCTATACTAGCTTCTTGAGGATGTTGTGGTGTAGTTTGGCTATTATTAGAGGTGAAACATTTGTAGTATAGATTGTGAAGTTGAAAGTTAATATATTGTGAATATGCGAGTTTAGTCTCAGTGATTGATATGATATCTAGTTGTTGAGCTAGGCAATATTAAACCAAAGTTGCCATTTTGTAATATGATTAAAGCCTTGAATATTGTGAGTAGCAATAGTAAGAGGTTTTTGTAGTGATTTAGTTATATTGTGCATATTGCTATAATTGTTATAGTTTTGAATATATGTGATTTATTCAATATCTATGGCTGTGTTGTTCGCCAATGGTATTTGATAAGATTTAGTCATTTGTGTTGTGAAGATATCCCATGTAGGGGTTAGCAGTTGGGGTAAATCGAGTAGAAAGTCTGGAATCATTTTTATATTAAAATGTTGTCGTAGTGTTTTCATAGTAGATATAACTTGAGCTTGTTCACTAATTGGCAGTGTTACTGAGAGTTTATGGTTCACTAAAATATTTTTAACTTTTTTGAGATTATCAGATAGTGGTGGTAAAGATTTACTTAGAGGACTACTGGATGCTTCGTCTGCTTCTGCATTTAGATTAGTATCTGCAGTTGTATTGGGTGTAGATATATTGACCCATTCTGCAGGCAGGTGGGTAAAATAGTAGTGTTGTCTTAATAGTTTTACTGTATTGGTTAGTTGTTGTAGAGTAGTGATTGGTATAATAATGTTATGTTGGGTAGAGACTTTATCACTATTAGGTAAGTGTGGTTTGGTCATAGGGTTAGCTTGTATAATATTGTTATGGAGTAGATAATGTATTCTATAGTGTTGAGAGACCTCTGCAATAAAGGCTCTTGCAACCTCATCCTGTGTGATAGGATAGGTGTATTGGTTCTGTGTTTTGATTTGTTCAGAATTAATTAGGAGTAGTGGTTTGACAACAAAGTAATTACTTGGAAGAAGATTAAATCTATAGTATTGTCTAAGCTGATAGATTATTTCAGATAAGGGTACTTGGGCTTGTATTGAATCGTAAGGAAAGAAATCTCTGACACTTGGGTTTAATTCCTGGTATGTGGTAGGCAGCGGTTGCTTAGGAAGGGGTAGCTGGAAGTATGATAGTGGAATGGAGTCGCAAACATAATAGTCTGCTAGTTTCTGTCTGTAAAATGATAAATATTAAAGTGATTGCCAGTTTTTTATAGAAAAGTATTGTTGTAAAGGAGTTGCTAGGTCAGTCATATTTTCTGGTAAAGCAGGTAGTACTTGAAAGTACGAATCAGATAGTCTGTCAAACTTGAAGAGTTTTCTAAAACAGTTGACAATTGCTGTAGTATGTGAATGTTGTTTAATTGGGAGTGTAAAGGGAAACTCTTTTGTAACATATCCTGGTATGAGGTCAGGGCTTGTGGGTAGAGGAAGTAGTTTATCTTGAAATGCTTTAAGTACAGCATTTTTGATATCTTTTGGAGTATTGTCATTTTCATTTAGGATTTGGAGGAACCCTCTTGCATAGTAGATTAGTTTGAATACAGCAAAGTGGCTAATAGTAATAAAGTTTGTGTTGGCAAGGTGCTGTACAATAAGCATCCTTTTGAGCATAGTATGAATAGTTCTACGTATATTACAGTTGATAATTGTAAGCTGGTTGCTCGTCTTGTAGTTGGCCAGCACGTTATTATATAAGTTTGTATATTCCTTCTGATATGCTGGTATGGTTTTTGGGTTTCTGGAGAATATAGTAAAAAATCTTGTATCTAGGTGTTTGAACTTGAGATAAATTGCTAGAGGTAGCTCGAATTGAGTAGGAGTAGAACCAATTTTGTGTTGCACAAATTGGTATATACTATCTGAAGTTTGAAGCGAGATAGCTATAGTATCATATGTCTAGTGGTTAAGATCAAATGGCTGTTTTGTATCTTGTGTAATTTTGCTTGCAATCTGCAGTACCCATGCAGTACTGTTAGATACCTTAAAGGTAGGTAAATCAAGATTTTTGCATACAGCTTGGCTATAGGATGGTTTAGTTGTTTCTGTAAGATCTATAGTAAAGGCTGTGTATGTTGGTGAAACAGTAGATGGTGATTGTAGTTCTTGTGTATTGGTGGTGGCAGTATTAATTGGTGTAGATTTGGGATATTTTTGTTGCTGCCAATCTGGGTATTTTGGTGAGTAGTATTATATCCAGAATATTGACTTGGGCTGTTGACCGCTTGTTGGGTTTGTGTAATCTAGAGACTGCAGTTGATATACTGCCTGTTATATAGCCTTTAAGTGAACGAGTACTAGTTTTTTCTTTGTTATTTGATATAGTCTTTGTGGTACTAGTAGAGTTATTTTGATTGGTATTATCGTCTGTATCAATTTTC